TTGCGTCAGATATTCTATGACACATTGGGGCTTGAACAGGATTTGGGGCAAAGTCTAATGAGTGTTTGTTATGAATAAAATTGCATTATCATTATTATCAGCAGAATGTATCCACTTTTTTTTTTAAGGGGGGAAAATCATCGAATGACTGCTCCCGCCTGGGTTCACCCCGTTCCTTCTCCTGCACGTCGAGCCGGAGCCCCGGTTACCCGTTAGGTTCTCCGCGACTCCGAATCGGCATCGGCCCTATTGGGCCCCATCTGTGGTGGTCTGATAGCGATGGCTCTTTGAGGCGCGCGCGGAACGCGACGCGCCGTACGCTCGGGTCTGTTTCTGGTCGGCCGGGGAGCCACCCAGAATGTCTCCACTAGGTACTGAATAACGCATCTTTCTTCCAGACATTTTCAGACATACATAATATTTAAGACCACCATTGGTCGACATGAAATCGTTGTTTAGCTAGGAGAACAGTAAGATGACACGATTACAACATTACAGATTAATTTGTTCTATATACATACATAATTCACACATACATAACTATCCGCCATGGGGGTAGGATGAGACTATGGAACGCCAATTACTATTTGTTATAACTTGCGGACGGCAAACACGGGTAGCTCGCTGCCCGACCAGAACCAGACCCGAGCGTACGGAGCAGAGCACGAGCAGAGTACATCGCGTTTCGCGCGCGCCTCATAGAGCCAACAGACCACCACAGATAGGGGCCTAATAGGGCTGATACCGATACGGAGCCGTGGAGAACTTAACAGGTTACTGGGTTTCCGACTCGACGTGTAGGAGTAAGAACAGGGTGGTTTTTAGTCAGTAAGAGTCTGACACTACCTCCACCTCACCCAGGCGGGAGAAGTCATTCGAAGATTTTGCCGCTGTCAAAAAAATTGAATGTTTATACTTATGAACGTATAAACGTTATAACGAACAGTTTATTCAGCACATGAACTTAATTTCCTCCGAAGGTTTGTATACAAGCTGTGTTTAAGTGCTGGTAATAAGTTAACGACCCGTCTAACCGGTCAGGACGTGCGTAACCTACAATGTTATATAACTGATTTATCTTAACGTCTTAACGCCAGCTCTCTGAGATTGTGCACAAAGAACGCTAAGAAAAGTAGTAAATCTATAAAAAGGTATTGATACTATAGAGGATATTTGTATACTTACTTTTACTACATAAAGGGTTATTTGTACTTATTAAAGTTTAATGTAACAGTAAGACCTTAATACAGGTTTTAAGCATGTAGTCTGAAATAGTGCCCGGTACCATATGACAATACCGCCTATTACATGGGAAATAAGTTGTGTTGTGTGTCATATTATCATCACATTACTATTGAAATTGGGTGTTAGGTATATTGTATGTCCTCGGAGCACCCGGTGCCCCTTACAGGTGCTGAGGGTGGCCACCGGGGTGGTTTTAGTGAGGTAAGAATCCCACACACCTCTTTATCCCCAAAAAGTTAGGCGCCTTTTGAAGGTTTCCCCTCGACATCAAAACTGAAAGTATATTGTGTATGTTCATCTTAACCTAATGGCATTGAGTTATAATGCAGAACTCAATCAGATTATAAAACAGTTTCCTTTTTTAAAACTATAAAATAACTCAACATCCCTTAATTAATAAAACACTTAAGTTCAGTAATGCAGCCATGCCAGCCAGCCAACGTACAACTTTCTTTTGTCACTTTCATTTACGAAAGAGATTTCAAATAACATATCTACCGAAAATAAAATCCTACTAATATTATAAATGCAAACGTTTGTATGTTTGTTCGTTCGTTATTGCTTCATGTCAAAATGATTGTGAGGTTGTATATGTGTGTGTGTTTGTTACCCCTTTACGCAAAAACCGCTGAAGGGATCGGAATAAAATTTGGAACAAGGGTTTATTATAGTCTGGAATAACACTAGGCTATTTATTACGCCTGGAATGCGGGCGAAGCCGCTGGCAGAAGCTAGTGTAATATAAACTCTTCCTTTAACATACACACATAACTTCACGCCTGTCTCCCATGGTAGGCAGAGACTATGGACTGCCAATTGCTACGATTCCTACATACCTCTTTCGCTTCATCAACAGTCATCAATCATTTCCTGCATGCTCATCGGTTTTTTTAAGGCGGGAATATCATTGAATGACTTCTCCCGCCTGGGTAAAGCGGGAGGGAGTGTCAGACTATTGAGGGGAAAAATCATCCAATGACTTCTCCCGCCTTGGGTTAGGTGCGCGGGAGTGTTAGACTCTTACTGACTAAAAACCACCCACACCTACTCCTGCCCTTCGAGCTGGCGCCGGCCTAAGTCCTCCGCAGCTCCAAATCGCATCAGCCCTGTTGGGCTCCATTCGTGGTGGTCTGATGGCTCTTTGAGAGGCGAACGCGACCCGCCGTACGTGGGGTCTGGTTCTGGTCGGGCGGCGAGCCACCCATGCTCGCCATCCGCAGGCCTGTCAGCCTGTGTAGGTATGCTCCTCGGTTACGGGTACTTTTAATTTGGTCCTTCTTTAAATAGAATAAATCGAATAGAAACATTTCTTTTTTTAAATTGAATTTCAATTAGGTAAGTACTGTAACGGTTTTAATTCGGAATTTAATTAGTTACAAAGTTGATTGCAATGTTGTTTATTTTCGTAGTAATTTGCCGTTGCAGTTAATGAGAGCTTCATTTGCATTGTATGTATTAACTTTGTTCACGTCGGTCTGAGCTGACATTTTGTTTTCATGTTGGATAGTGTGGTCTGTATGAATGAGTTAAAATTAATTATCTATGTATTTAATTGGATACTTGCCAACTAGTCAAATTCAATACTTTTTTCGAACTGTCAAAAACGACAGTTTTCTATGAATTTTGTGCGAGATTGTGTATTGTGACGTCATATTTTTTTAGCGTCAAACAGCATACTTATTTCTTATGAATTTGCTGGAAAAATATTAAAATTAAGTTGATAGTAAAATCAATTAATGAAAGTGTGACTATTTTTTAATATTTTATTGAATTGAATAGTCGATGATTGATATTTTATTTTTGATTATGGAAAAAAACCCAATTGACGCAATTGAAATGTGACCTGATAATGAGGTTTTTCTCCTGTATCACAGTCATAGTCATAGATGCGTTTACAAAGAACTCAACTTGCACAAACAATACAGGAATATATAATGTTTAATTAATTAAACAACCTATTAACTAGAATAATATCCAATACTGAACTGTTTGAGTAGATACAGTACCTACTTGCTAAATACGTCTCAAATATTTTAATATTTAAATCTACATGTTTACGAATGTTTTCCACAAGTAAAATTTTTGTTTCATGTTAGTTTGATTTTGTGGTGTATGCGCCATCTATGTTTGAGTGTAAAAAACTGCAGCATTGTTTTTAGTTCCCAAATTTATGTTAGATGGCGTTAGCTGTCACAACATTTTGTTTCTGACTCCACAACTTCATTTCACAATGTAACTTTAAATATTTACCAGATATGTTATGAGTACTATGTAATAGCAGATCGGATCTAATTCTATGCTGACTAAGAATTTTAGATGGAAACGTAAACTGGTAATCGAACCAGAGTGCTTGCACGCACTTAACCAACAAGCATCATTAGAATTTAATAATACATATGTATATCCATGATAATTTTCTCTGATACCATTACAAAAACCAGTCACAGTTTGATTGTGAAAAGGCATTATCTCAATTATTTAGGTACATAAAAAACAAACGTCCAGTCCATATACACAAAAATTTTACCTTAGAAAATCATAGGATAAAAATCTGAGATAAACAACCAAATATGAAGGAAAAGCTTCCAAAACTTCACATGTTATATTTACAAAATTATTATACTTACTAACTTATTACACATAGCTATCAACTTTCATTGTCCAAACTTTATCGTTACTGGCAACATTCTTCTGTAAAACTGGCAACACTGAGTTTAGGAGAACACGCTTCACATAAATACTGATATTAATTATCGGAGATAATATCACGTAACTTAGGTAAACTTTTAATTAAGTCGTGTAATTTAAAGTTAGAAAATTTTAATCAATAATTACGTACGTAATACACATAATATAACATTACGCCTTTTATCGCTGAAGGGATAGGCAGAGGTGCACATTACGACACTTAATGCCACTGTATAATGTAACACCCACTTTTCACTATTTATTTATGTTATGAGTCTCATATAATAGGGGGTGAGCCTATTGCCATATACTGGGCTCATATCCAGACTCCGTGCTACTTCTGAGATTTAAAAAAAAACCAGTAATGTTTGGCCCGACCCGGGAATCGAACCCGACACCCCTTACTGGGCTACACTAGGCCAAGAGGCAGTCGTAATACAATGTATGTAAATATTAATTAATGCGATGTTATGTTGGCATTTTCGTGTAATTTCTGCCAGAGGCTTTGAACTCAAAAAGCCGTTTCTCGTTTTACGATCAAAATTAATTACCAATTTCAATCAAAAATCTTTGAATTACGATCGGTATCACTGGCAGAAACTCATTATGTTGTGTAATCTGCAGCTGTAGCCAAATGCCACTTAGCGCTTGTCTACATGTAGAATAGAAAACCAAATTATATGGGATTGACGTAAATTTTGACACTTATCAGTGTCATCCCCATATACATATTTAGTTTTCTACTCTCTCTGTAGACAAGCGCTAAAGTGGCGTTTGGCTAAAGGCCCAGCAGTGCTAGCCAAATGCCATTTAGCGCTTGTCTACATGTAGAGTAGAAAACCAAATTATATGGAATTGACGTAAATTTTGACACTTGTCAGTGTCATCCCCATACATTTTGATTTCTACTCTCACTGTAGACAAGCGCTAAAGTGGCTTTTGGCTAGAGGCCCAGGGCCTCTAGCCAAAAGCCACTTTAGCGCTTAATAGAGAATAGAGAAAATTAATAAAAAAGAAACAATAAAGTATTTAAGTAATTAATCTTTAGTTGGTCGACTTAATTTGTATTACAGTTCCTCGTGAGCAACGTCAACAATATTCACGGGTACTGCTGATTCTCCAGGATTTGCAGATTCTACAGATTCAACAGGTTCTACGGCTTCAACAGGTTCAACAGATTTTGCGGCCTCTACAGGTTCTTCATCTTCTACCGTCTCTCCTGAGCCTATAACACCATCTACTGCCATCTGTGAGTACTTTTCCAAGAAGTCTTCCCAGAACTTCTTCCTTTCTCCTAAGGGGTTGGTCTTCATGCGGAGTAGCTTCGTGATATGAAGGTAGTTGGTCTCCAATTCTTTGCCCATAGGTTTCCACGTGAGTCCCTTCAGAACCTCATCGTCTTTTGATGGTGTGGGGTTCCTGAAATTATGTTTTTTTTGGTATGAGTTTTGGTTTTCGTATTTTATATGATAAAGTGCTAACTGGGGAGAAGTTCGTGCTTGCATGAAGGTGACTTATGTAAGGACAAGGTATGGTAAGTAACAAATAAAACCTACGTATAGTTTTGAATTTGAAACCCGTTTAAGGAACTATGTTTAGAACTCGAATTAAAATGACTGAAATACTCAAATGCCACTAAATTTTAAGTCGCGCTAAGTATAGTTCTGTCACTAAAAATTCTATGTAAAATGAAAGAAACGGCACGATATTTAAGCACGACTTAAAATTGAGTAGCCTTTCAGTATTCGGGCGTTAATTGATTATGGATTAACTGAATTGATATTTACTAACTAACATTTTAGAAATTTGATTGCTATTTTTGGGTTGTCGAAGAACGTAGATCTTACAGCTGTAAGTAGAACTTAGAGAAAACAAATCAAAACGTCTATTTTAAACATAATCTAATTAGAAATTAAAAATTATTTATTGAATATCACGTTAAATAAAAAGCTAATTCAATTACGCTGAGAAGAAATTATATAGTCTACGAATTACTAATAAAATTTAAGCATATTCTGAAAAAATCACTAAAATATCTTAACATACCCTGTTCTAGCAAAGTTGCTCCACAAACGGACCATTCGCTTCATTACTTTCTGTTCGTTTTGTTCACTGGGCAGGTTCAGCATCTGATCATAACTCTTCTTGATACGAGAGCAAACGAATAGGTAACACAATTCATCTCCCACAGTAGCACCGTGGTGACCCATAGTTGTCCTAGACTGAGCCATTATATTCTGACTATTTTCATTCCACTGACCTCTGAAGTCAAAAACATAGTAATAGACTGGAGAAGAAAGACTTTCGGCTAACTTATGAGCAGTTAAATCTATCGGGTAATTTTGTAGACAGTCTGCTACAAACACAGCATACTCTAGAAGATTAGCATAGTGCAGCGATTTATCTGCCAAATAGAAATTAACGATGTCCCTTCCAGCTTCCTTGTAAGGCTTACTGTTCTGTACAAATCGGAAGTTAGTCCTAATTGGCAGTTTCAGAATATGTTTCTCAGCGTTATCAGTTAAAAATCTTGGTTCAATAATCAGATTAGAAATTATGTCGATTCCTTCACGGGAATTGAAACCAATTATAATGGGGACGTCATTAACTATTTTACTTTTCTCAGGTAATTCGCTAAGAACTGCATCTTCAATACCGTATTCAATTGTGGGTGCGTAAGGAAAGTTACTAATCTGATATTCGTCTATATACTTAACATCTATGGTGTCAATTTCAGCAAGGAGAATGTTCTCAGCGTCTAACTTTTGAAGTTCTTCCAACAATTCTTGGCTGTTTGCTGCAGTAATATTCAAAGCAGATCCAAGGTGGAATGCCTTCTTCTTAGGCTCTTTGTAGAAGTACATAGCTTCTAATGCTGTTCCGCTTTGAAGGATGGCACCGGAGAAGAGTCCTTTAGCTTTCTCAGAATAAAGTAGAATATCAGCTAACGCAGCTCCACCTCGACTTCCAACGATCGTAACTTTAGATGGATCACCGCCAAACTTTTCAATATTATGTTTAATCCATTCGAGTCCAAGAATGAAATCTCTCAAGCCATTATTACCTTTAATGACACCATCTTCAGTAGTTAGATAACCTAGAATGGCGAGACGATGGCTGATGGTGACTACGACAACTCCTTCTTCAACGAGGAAGTCTGGAGAGTAAGTGTCTGTTCCATTAAACCAAGTTCTAAATTGATCATTATAGTCAAATACTATGACTGGAGCATTTCCTTTCACGTCTGGTGTGAAGACACTGACGTAGAGGCAGTCTTCCGATCCTGATATTCCAAAAGGCTCCTTGTTCCTCATCCTGGAACTGAACTGCATGCATGTTGGTTTGTTCTCAAAGGCCTCCAGGTTACCGCTCCAACCATCGTGGGGTTTTGGTGGCTGAAATGTTGAAGAATTTAAAATTAGTTAAAATATTGAAATATTAACTTAAAAATCTATTTTATATGTTTTCGGGTACCTCATTAATAATCAATAGTTTCAAAATATTGTGTTCAAAATAATGATCCTTTTTATTTTAATAACATCTACTAAAAACTTGGTATATGTATATTTCTACAGTATTGTGAAGATAGTACAATTTTATTTCTCGTATGAAAGGCACTCAATAAAAGTTAAAATAAAATCAATTGGTACGTAATTCCAAGTGCAAACGTTTTCCTTTTACATTCTAAACGTTACATTATAAATGTAAAAGCATAATTCAAACACAAAGTGTTTTCACAGGTTCGGTTACCCCAAATACTTTAGCAGTACCCTTGCTTACCTGGAATCTTAATTCCCCAACGGGACTTTCCGCAAAAGGTATACCTTTAAAAGTATAAAAATCCTGCTTTTTATGTATCGTTTTCTCCACTTTTCCAACAACTACACCTTGTTTCAAACTAACTTCTACAGTATCTTCACAAATGCACTCTTTTACGGCAAGAATACAGAAAAATAGAATTAACGTTCTCATTTTTAATTAATAATTTAATTGATTTATTATTGAGTATAAAGACTAGCACATGTTAGATAATAATATCGACTAGTTTACTCTGATTGATAACGCAAGGTGTACGTGTTCATTGTATTATCTTGTGGCGATAAGTTAATTATCCAAAATCCATTTCGGATTTCCCGTTAAACCGTCTAATCAGGTATTGGAAAATAGGTGGTTGTATTAAATTACATACGTGTATTAAAATGTTATTTTTAAGTTATATTAGTACGATTAGACTTTATAGAGACCTATGAAGAGCATCCTTTTATCCCTGAAAGGGTAAGCAGAGGTGCACCATTATGCCACTGTACAATGTAACACCCACTTTTCACTATTAATGTTATGAGTCCCATGTTATAGGGGGTGAGCCTATTGCCATAGACCAGGCACAATTCCAGACTCCGTGCTACTACTGAGATTTTTTTTAAAACTAGTAATACTTTCCCGGGAATCGAACCCGAGAACCCTTACGCGGCAGTCGCACTTGCGACCACTCGGCCAGCGAGGCAGTCTTGGAGAGCAGAATTAAGTATCTATATTAAAATAAAATACTCTTTTGTTGTCTTCTATTTATATTATCTTCTGATTTATTTCGTTGCGGAATCCATACAGTTATTCATGTCCCTGGGACGCGCCCGACTTCAGTGTTCCGGTGTTTTAATGGTTGTGTCTACTGTAGAACCTGGCTGAAGAGTTGCAGTTAGTAGCATAAAAAAAAGTTGACGTTCTGTGGCTGATAATTTGATGATGATGCTGACAATTTGTTGATAGTTAACATATTTTTTTAAACTCTATGAGCAAACAATTCCAAGACCTCTTGGTTTAGACCAATACAAACTGTCTTAGGCTGATTTCTCCAAAGTTGGATAAATTTTATCAGAGGAATAACTTTAAATATTTGACAATTCTTCCATAACAAAAACTGTCAAATGTCAATTCTGCAGTTAAGAATTAACTGTTGATTGAATGGGTTCTTATAATTTATTTTATAAAAAATCAAGGTGCCTTCGTTTCAAAATTTCTTTTAATATAGTTAAAAAGTGTGTTTTATATTTCTGGCCTATGAAATTCAATTTTTCGTTGTTCTACAGCAAAAGAAAAAGCAGTGGGAGAGTCATATATATATCATATCATCACGCCTTTTATCTCCGAAGGGGTAGGTAGAGGTACACATTACGGCACTTAATGCCACTGCACAATGTAACACCCACTTTTCACTATTTACGTTGCGAGTCCCATGTAATAGGGGGTGAGCCTATTGTCATATACCGGACCATTTCCAGGCTCCGTGCTACTACTGAGTTTTTTTTAAAACCCACTAATATTTTGCCCGACCCGGGACTCGAACCCGAGACCCCTTGCCCGGCTGTCCCACTTGCGATCACGCGGCCAATGAGGCAGTCCTATTTATTTTTGTGCTAACTGTTATTGAAATTGATGTTCCTTGGACACCCTATCATAGGCAGTGAGTTTATTGTTAAATATCGGGTAATAAAAAAAAATAAATAAATAAAGAACACTCAATGTATATTCTGAATTTCTGATATTTTCATTAATTAATAAAGTTTATCATGATAAGACCTTTTGACAGGCTTGCAACTAGCTGTGCTCGATTAACGAGGTATCTAAACACAATTTTTATATAATAGGTAATCAAACCACAATCAACACTTAAAATAATTTATTTCAAAAATAATTTATACAGATTCTATAGATTAAAGTTCATCTTTGTCGTACTTGACCACTCCATCTACAGCTAAAGCTTTGTACTTGGCTATGAAATCATCCCAGAACTTTATCCTATCAGCATGAAGGTTCTTCTTCATCTGCAGCTCATCACTGATGACCAGGCAGTCCTTGTCTTCTTTGCTGGCTGGAGTCCAGACGAAGTCACTGCCTTGAGGCGTAGGATTACTGAAATTTAAAAGTGTAATTCAATGTCAGAAGGTGTTTTAAAAGGGTTAGGAGGAGTATTTTATTACCAGTTTCTCAGAAGGTATATAATTGTTATTAAGAAATAAAGGCTACGTGGATTTCATAGGTACTGAGAATTAAAAAATTGATCTGTGACTTTGAAAGACTGGTTACCAATAAAGCCAACAAAAAAAGAAGACTTGATTACTGCCAAAAATAAATACTTTTGGATTTTCCTCTGAGATAAATTTAAAGAATTAACATGTCAATAAAATAATTACAAATATAACACGGTGTTTTCCAAATGTTAATCAAATAATAAAATTTTATTAGTCCGATAAGATACCACTAATTGTTTATTTTACTACCTATCTTTCAAAAACGAAGTGTCAGAACAAGTAGTACAGAATCAATGACTAATTAACAATACAGCTGCCTTGTTTGACTTATGTTTTAAACTTACCCAGATTTCGCGAAGTTGGTCCACAGTTTAACCATGTTTCTAATGACTTTCAGTTCTTCGGCCTCCTCATCTTCCAATATTTTTTTATACAACTTGGTAATTGGTTTGCAAACGAACAGATAACAAAGTTCATCTCCCGTAGTAGCACCCCATGTTCCCTCCATAGTAACCGCCTCTTCCATTACATTATTCTTTCTCATATTTAGTTCCCCACTATAATCAAACGTGTAATAATACACAGGCGAGCTAGATTCATTCGCATATTTCCTTAGAGCATAGTCTATGGGATAGAAAACCATAACATCTGAAACATAGGTCAGATATTCTCCTGGCTTACTTACTTTTACATAAGCTTCATCGAAGTAGAATTCTTTAATCTCTTCAATTGCTTTACGGTAACTGTTTGAGTTTAATTGAAAGTGATAATCGACTTTGATTGGGAACACCATCAAGAAATCTCTATCAGCGAATGTCAAGTACTGAGGTTTACGTAAGAAACGTTCGTTAATTTCGATACTTTCTCTAGAATTGTAACCAATCATAACAGGTATGTCTATGTCGATAGGACCGTTTTCAGGACGACTAGTGATGATAGCCTCAGGGTGATCTGGTTCAACAACAGGTCCAAAAGGTACAGATCCAGATTGTATTTTTCTCCCTTCGTCAGCGTCAACTGACATGGACTCGGCAGTAGCGATTTCCATCGAAGATATAGACGATAATTCTTCAAGTAAATTGGTACTGGTGACAGCTGTTCTCTCAAGTTGTTTAGCTAATGCTGTTGCTTTGTCTACAGGGTTTGTTGGCATGTGAACTGGATTCCATGCTGTTCCACTTTGAAGTATAGCTTTACTAAACAGTCCCTTTGCCTTAGGTGATAAGAGTAACAGATCAACCATAGCTGCTCCTGCATCAACTCCCATTAACGTAATACTGTAAGGGTCTCCACCAAAGTTGTGGATATTTTGTTGCAGCCATTTTAGGGCCATTATTACGTCTCTGATACCATTGTTTCCTGGTAACTTTTCATCATTGAATGCTAAAAAGCCAAAGGATCCAACTCTGTGTTGTATAGAGACGACAATGACATCTTCTTTGACTATGAAATCTGGACCGTATTCTCTGGATGCGTTGTGTGATACTTTGAAGTGCTCATTGTACAGGAACACGATGACAGGCATGCTAAGCTCATTATTGCTTGGCAGTTTTGGAGTGTAAATACTCAGAGTTAAGCAGTCATCTTGACCACAGAAACCATGCTTCTTCAACGGCCTCATTGGTAAATTCATTTGGGAGCATGTCTTTCTTTCCTTTTTGGCCTCTAGGACATCGGTCCATCCTTCGTGTGGTTCTGGAGCCTGAAAGAAACGACGTTTTTTTAATAAGATGACATGAAAATTACACTAAAAATTAAAATAAAGTTGTTGTAGGAGATATTTAAAAGAAATTGAGAATTTTAAGTCGTTGACTATATTGATTATTTGCTAGAAAGTATGAGAATGAGCCAAGTTTCGATGTCAATATCGGAAAACAAAATAGTGAGAGAATAGCCGGCGGAGCGGCGTCTGTGAATACCATTATAACTTTGCAGATATGGACCCAACTAACACCAACTTTTAATATAGACGGTCATAGTCCGCAGATGCAGATTTACTTGATAATATTGTAATTTGATTCAGCTAATGTTGTAACTTTTCATATGGAGAACACATAATTCTTTTTGTGACAAAGGTCCATCTCTTATTCACAACTTATTTGATAATTATACATCGATTTACTTCATAAATATTAGTAAAAGAGCACTTACCAGAAATCTATGCTTCCCAAGCGGCGGTTTGGCATAGGGAATGCCCATAAACGAATAATATTTCTCATTTTTTAATATAGATTTGACTTCAATACCGGCAACTTTACCTAAAGTAGTATCTACTATGATATCAGCTTGGATTGTATTAATTAAAAATAATACTAAAATCACTAAATACGGTCTGAACCCTTCCATTTTGGTTTGGTTATGTTTTGTTACAATTTGTTTGTTCACAATCACACATGTTACAACTGACGTGTCCTATAGATAAGTTATTGTTAATCTTGGGTTAAACTGAATTATTATCTAATGTACGATAAATAGGTCTTAAGTACTTTGCTCGTTATCAGATTTCAGTTGCTACTGGAAATATTGTGTGTCAACTTTTTAATTTTATGGTCGAGGAAAAGAAATAGTACACTTTAGTTAAAAATAACATTTCGTCTCATAGGTGTTTTTGGTATTTTAGATTATTGTCAGTGTATGTTAAGTCTTAAGCAACAAAGAGTTAAACGATTGTCAAGTATTGAACTTAAGTTGAATATCCAAACTATTATACAATCAAACCCACGACACATTGTAGGTACAGAAGTCAGTTACACACTTACTATGTGGTCTACATAGTCCGAATCAAACACAGCAATAGATAGTAGAGGTTCGATTAATGAACTAATTTATTTTCATTTACTAAGCCATCCAACCACAATACTGTCTTATAATCTTTAAATCTTTCGTAAACACACGACGTATACATACTAACATAACCTCATGCCTGTCTCTCATGGGGTAGGCAAAGACTATAGAACGCCAATTGCTATGATTCCTACATATAATAACATAACATAACATCACACCTTTTATCCCCGAAGGGGTAGGCAGAGGTGCACATTATGCCACTGTACAATGTAACACCCATTTTTCACTATTTATGCTATGAGTCCCATGTAATAGGGGGTGAGCCTATTCCTACATATAATAATTCTTTTTTATACCATGTTTAAAAAAATCTACTTTAACCCTCTCTTTTTTAAATTCGGATACATACAAGTCAAACTAAGCCCCACCTTTCATATATTTGAAGTCGTTTAAAAAGTAAACAAATGACGCGACGTATAATTTCTCCCAAATGTGCTGGCATTTCTGTTATTATTTGATTTATTAAAGATATTAAGTATTTGGATGTAATTTATATTCCACTCCGAGAAGCAGACATCTTATCATAGTATGTACCAATATAAAGTATATCTGAGGTGCAGGTTTCCGCTTCTGAGAGATTAAGTTGAATTTATAGATTACTTACGTCCAAATTACGCAAACATTTCTAGATTGTATGCCAATGTAGGAAGTAGGAACTCAAAATGGATGAAAAACTAGTGTACTTAGTTATTTTATTGTGCTTTAGCACCTAACTTTGCAAACATATTACAACTTTTATTCCCAAAAATTACAGATAAATGTAACATCGACTACTTCGCCTTTAGAGTTTTGTAAACACAAACTTCAATTACGCTTGAGCCCGATTAGGAATCAAACCCTACCTAAGTGCTTATTTATTATTAGCGACAAACGGGCTATATCAAATGTGACTTTTTACTAATATTCTTTTCATAACATCTTTAATTTCACACATTCCTTCACCAGACGCGGGTACATAAAGGTACGGAACATCGTAATTTTATGTAAAATATCTTTTCCTTTTATCTTTATCTTTTTATAACGATCTTATTAGTATTCTATATTTCTGAGATGATCTTCGTTGCTCCAATTTCCGCTTCAATGACTCGTTGCGAAGCTCAAAGGGACTGGGTACACCATGACGAAGCTTTGAAATCCGAATAAATTATTTGGGGAAGTATTTTTTAATTTTATGGTATTTGATGTTAATGCTGACTGCTTCGTTGGCCGACTGGTTGCAAGTTGGGTTCCCGGTTTGGCAAAAGTTTATTGAACATTTTCTGTAAAGACGGGATTGAAATTATACTCGATTTATGATATAAGAGGTTTTTACATGGGATTCATAATATAATAACTCGCCCCCTATTACATGGGACTCATAACATAAATAGTGAAAAGTGGGTGTTACATTGTACAGTGGTATAATGTGCACCTCTGCCTACCCCTTCGAGGATAAAAGGCGTAATGTTATGTTATGTGTCATAATATAACTGGCGAACAGTGACTGCATAATATGTGCAGGCTTTTTCTGCTCCTTAACCGTCCTTAAAAAATAGAAAGCGTGTCGATGTTTTTTATGTGTTGAACTGGTAAACTAACAGACGGATCACCTGATGGTAAGCAATTGGCGTCGACCATGGACACCTTTTTTTTAAGGGGGGAAAATCATCGAATGACTGCTCCCGCCTGGGTGAGGCGCGAGGGAGTGTCAGACTCTTACTGACTAAAAACCACCCCGTTCCTTCTCCTGCACGTCGAGCCGGAGCCCCGGTAACTCATTAGGTTCTCCGCGACTCCAAATCGGTATCAGCCCACCATGGACACCTTATGTTATTTTTCACCTTTCCCTGAACCAAACCAAGATAAGTTCATATTGTATATAACGTGAGACATACTAAATTAATGATCATGTTTTCGGCTCACACACGTAACTGTTTGACGAGGAACTCGACTAGTTTAAAACCATGGTAGAGGCTCATGTTCATGAGCAGAGTGCCAAGCACGAATAACTATCGCATTCGTAACGTACCTAATAGTATCGAGCGCGTTCGGCGCTCTGATTGGCCGGCTCAAGTGAACCAACCAATCAGAACGCTTAACTCGCTCGATACTGTTACTATACAAATGCTTTAGTTATTCGTGCTTGGCCCTCTGAATTCCGCGATACACGACGTAGCTAGTCGAGTTGCTTGTCAAACAGTTACGTAAGCCAAAACATAATAATTTATAATACAATCTTTTCTTTTTTTTTTTTACAAACGTTGCCCTACTTTAGGATTTTTTCCTGTGTCGTGGGTGCATTTACAAACATACAAGTTCACATACACATGACACCCAGACCCGAAACAACAATTTGTGGAGTTGTTCCGTGCGGGAATCGAACCCGCAACACGTTGCACGGCAGCCGGTTGCCCAGCCACCGCACCAACAGTGCAGTCAATTTTTAGCAAGCTATTTTTTTCAATAAATAGTTCAATAAATAAAACACCGAAGTATATTGCGTTTACTTATTTATTATTTACTTTCAAGCACCGATGTGAGGATTGAGTCACGGAGCGCAGTTTACTTGAACCAATCGTTAACTATGAATGCACCGTTAAACTGCTTCTCTATATGAATATGTAAGGTTAACTGCTAAGACTAGAGTTAGTGGAGCATGAACATGATCTGATCGTGGTTATCTGGTGGATGTAAATGTTGGTATTACCGACCTCTTTTAGTTTTTAATCGTATCTTACTATGATAATCTTAGTTACTGTTGTAATAATGTTCAAGCAACGCAAATAAGATCAAGCTCTCTCTTGATTACCTCGTTGGTTCGATTCGATTCCGATTTTATAGGACAACAGTGATTTTAAGTAATACCATATTGATCATATACTTGTAACTCCATGAAAACAGACTTAAAACGCCACAAATAAACTATGATACGTAATAAGTTATCTTTGTATGTTTGTAGTAAATTATCTTCTACTTGATTCAAGAATAAAATACTTCTCAATATAAATCTAAAAGTGCACACTCGACAAAACACATAATCAATAGAAAAAAAGCTGAGAAAGATTGTTAATGAATAGAAAAAAGCAAGCTTTCACATTAAATTTCAATTCGGCGAGGTTTTGCAGATGAAAGGGATTATCTAAAAGAGATTATCGATATGGTTCTGAATGCATTGGTATCGTGGCCAGAAGTTTGTGGTTTCCAGCTTACCGAGTTTCCAATAAAGCTAATGAAGTGGAAAGAATCGAGATCGACCGGCCAATATTGATTTAAAAAGTGAACGTTAAGTTTATACCCGATTGCCACAAACATGTGTGTGTGGTTTTTAGGTCAGATTTACTTTAGAAAGAGGTTTATTATGTTTTTTATATGCATGTAAAGGAAACTGTTTTTTTTATTAAGTGGTATCTTGTTTTTAGTAAGTTAAAAATAATATATAGATTAAAATAGTTTTAAATTTTTTTTTGGTCGTACGCTATATCGCTACGTCATACAAGTACACTGTAGGATAATAATGCTAAGGATGTTTTTATAATAACTATCGTGAGACATACTAAATTAACTAAAATCGCAGGTTACTCACGTGAATATACTGAGAAAAGGTCTACTAGTTTCGAACCACAGAGGGGTTCTTTCTCATGATCAGCGTGCGCGGTCGCGGCGACGTCGCGCAGCTCACTGTGAGCTAATTAGTAGAGCTTTTTTTAGTATATAAGATATTTCTGGATTAGGACGACACAGTCAGTCAAACACAATTGAGTTTCTCTGTAAGAAAAGATTTATTGTTTATAAAATATGAAAATGTAATAAATATGTGTGATAACTTATTAAGTTTCAAACTATTACAAACCTGTAAGAAAAGAAACGACATTTAATGTTATTATTAACAATGCCAGTTCCTAATCACAATTAGAGGTATAATATTTAATTAATGAAATTAATAACCAATTTATTGTTCTTCTCAACAAATACTAATTCTAGGATATTTTATTTAAATAGACAGATGACATATAAACGTCATCTGTTAGATCACATTCAAATAAAGAAATTTATATTATTTCTTTACATCTCCCCCCGTAAAGAAGATAGACGAAGATGTAATATGTACATGTATCTATAGTTCTTAATCGTATGCAGGGGCTGGTGTTAGCTTTGAAATGTGGAATAAATTCGATTCTGATCTCTTATGGTCAGTGTTTATCCTAAAAATTGAGTTGGAAATTTTTTCTATAATTTTGTACGGTCCGATTTTCAATTCATCAAGCTTCTTCCGATTCAGTTTATTTCCATTCTCCACAAAAACAGTGTCACCAACTTTGAAGTCGATGTGTCTTCTATTTTTATCGTAAATTATCTTATTATAATTGTGCGATTTGATGGTATTTTCCAGAGCTTTTTCCCTAGCTTGGATTAAATTATGGTTTACCTTGTTTTGTTTCAGCTCATTTGGTAAAATCGTAACATCTGTGCCATAAAGTAGGTATTTGGGGGCATATCCAGTAACAGTGTGCTCCGTTTCATTATATTTTTGTACACAGTTGTGGGCTACAGTTGTCCATGCTAGTTTAGTTTCGCGTTCGTTAATCTTGCACCTGATTTTATTAACCAATGTCTGGTTTAATCTCTCGTTTAATCCATTTGAAAAAGCAGAGTTTACGGCTGTAAATATTATAGGAATATTTTTTTCATCCAAAAACTTTTTAAATTCATTAGAATTAATTCCTGGATATTGGTCTGATAGTATCAATTCAATGGCATCACTCTCTGTACAGTTTTTTAACAGTTTAATGAAATCATTCGCATTTTGAGTACTTGATGTTAAAATATATGCATATCTAGTGAAATGATCCAATAAAAGGTGTAAATACTTCTTTGTAGACCTGGAACCTCCGAAACCTCCAATGGTATCAATAGAGCATATCTGAAAAGGTCTTGTGGCAGGGCCCAAGTGGGACATCAACCCATATTTAATTTGTCCCCTTGATTTATTCTTTAAGCATACCGTACAGCTCTCACAGATTTTTTTATGTTTTTGATCATATTATCTGCCGTATACACTGAGCTAATCATTCTCTGCATTTGTTTAATTCCTATATGACCCAGATCTGTATGTACCCTTTTCATGAAATCTGTGCTAAATTCCTCTGATATAATAATTTTATCTTTATTCTTTACATTTTTATAATAAACATTGTCTTTCATCATTAACTTGTCTTTTCTGCATTGTATGTATTTATTTTCAACTTGATCTTTTAGGATGTCTTCTAGTGTTATTATGTTTACTACTTTTAACTGCTCCTCTATGTTTTCATTCGGTCCAAGTACCGGGTTCCTACTTAGGCAGTCAGCTTCAATGTTATATCTTCCTGGTGAATATTTGATTTGGAAATCATATTGTGATAAATAATATGTTAGGTCTCCTAATTCTTCATCTGTTCTAGATCTTATGTTCATCTTCTCCAGCGGTTTGTGATCTGAGAATACAGTGAATTTCCGTCCTATTAACATATGTTGCCAATACTTTACACATTCTTTAATTGCCAGGCATTCAAGATAGATAGCTTTCTTCCTTTTTTGTACCTCATTAAGTTTTTTCGAAAAATATGCTACTGGCTTTTCTTCATTGTTTTTTTGTATTTGTTTTAGTACTGCTCCTACTCCCAATATGCTTGCATCCGTGTATATGTGAATAGGTAAATTTGGATTAAATATTGTCAATACTGGCTGAGAACATAATATTTTTTTCATTTCATCAAATGACTCTTGGCATGCATCAGTCCAGTTAAAGGTTTGACCTTTTCTCAATAGGTTATGAAGTGGTTCTAATTTTATGGCTATGTTTGGCACATACTTATGATAGAAGTTTATTTTTCCTAGGAATTGCCTCACATTTTTTTGAGTATTTGGAGTTGGAAAGTTTTTTATTGATATTAAATTATCTTTCAGTGGTCTGACTGAATTATTCTGTATTACATGACCTAAGTATTTAACGGTATCTGCTGCAAATGTGCATTTAGAAAATTTTAATTTTAATCCCTCGCTTTTAATCGCTTCAAATAGTTTTTCCAGATGTATGATGTGATCTGAGAAATTTTCAGAAAACAGTAAAATGTCATCAATGAAACATACCGTGAAATCTCCAAGCTTGTGTTTCCGTATTATATTACACATTATTCTCTGGAATATAGCCGGAGCGGTTTTTAAGCCAAATGGCAAACAGGTCCACTGATAGTGACCCTCTTGAGTCACGAATGCAGTTTTATGTCTGTCTGTGATTCGCAAGGGTATTGACCAAAACGCTGAGTTTAGGTCCAGTGTTGAGAAAAATTTGCAATCTCTTGTCTTTATAATTAAATCTTCAATGAGAGGAAATGGTTGTGATTGAGGCACAACAATTTTATTTAGTTCTCGAAAATCGATGCACAGTCTTGATCTTTTATTTTCATCTCTTTTATAAGCTAATGTGACTGGTGCTGCGAATGGACTGTATGATTCTTCTATTATATTTTTTTCTAATAATTTTGCAATTTGTTCTTCAATCTCCTTCTTGTCTTCTATGGTGCACCGATATGGCCTTTTGAAGCAATATTTTTCTATTTGTAGATCAATGTGTGCTTCATAATCCGTTACCCGTCCTATGTCATATTTGTCCTTAGCAAACACAGATTTATTTTTCGAAATTAATTCATCAATCATTACCTGTTTTTGATAGTCTAGATGATTAATACATATTTTGAAGTCTTCTTGACGTATGTGTTCATTGAAGTTTATTATATTATCAGATTTTGTCTCCTTAGAAACTGTATCTGTTTTGTTTGTTTCCTTAGAAACTGTATCTGTTTTGTTTGTTTCCTTAGAAACTGTATCTGTTTTGTTTGTTTCCTTAGAAACTATTTGGCTTCTTTGTATAGGTAATTTCTGTGAAATTTTTAAGTTTTCGTTTTGAACTAGGCAAAACTCTTTTATAAAATCAAGTCCTACTAGAAAATCATAATCGAAATTTTCTTTGTCTATTACGAAAACCCTCATTTTTTTTTCTATATCAAAGATAGCCACATCAAGTGTTATAATGCCAATTGCCTTTTTAACGCCATTAATCGTTTTTAAGTTAGTATTGGTGGAAATATTGGGTTTCTCAGTATTTATTTTTAACAATCTTGAATTTATTAACGAGACATTAGACCCAGAGTCATAGATTCCATAAATTTCAACATTTTTATTCAGTACTAACTTCACTTTGATCAATGGCGGCACTATTAGTTTTTTTTATCTTCACACTGCAATTCACATTCCAGTTCTGAATTGTTTACAAGTCTTATTTGCTTTTTGTCTTTTTCATTATCTAGACTTTTTTTAAACCAGCATGAATCTTCTGAATGATAGCGTACACCTTTCTTCAGTTTTTCACAAATACCACAATTTTTCATATCTGGCTTAATATCTTCTTTCTTCTTGATCATTTTTTTTCTTGAAACTAAATGTTCTAATCTTCCAAGCTCACTAAATAAATTATTTGTATGTACCATTTCTTCTTTATTAATTCTATCAGTTATAAAATCTGGTAAGCCTGCTGCAATTATATCAATTAGAGTCCCTTCATCTATTGTTTTCCTTACCTCAAGTAAAAGTTTTTCTTTTTTTATTGCATACTCTAATAAAGATCCCGATTGGTACCTGTACGATAAAGCATACTTGCTAGCATTCCAACCTTTATTCGCATAGGTTAGTAAGAAACTTGATTTCCATTCAGACCACTCGGAGTGTAAGCTAAGTTTGATCATCATGGAAGAATACCAATCAGTGCATGACTTTTCAAGAAATAATCTCAATATTTCAATTTTTTCTTCTTCTTTTACTAAATTAAACCTTTCACATTCTTTTTCAAATACTTCCATCCACTGATGCGCACTTGAACTTTTTCCATTAAATTTCTCAATTACAAACTTGTCAGCCAACTTTTCATACATTGCTTTTCTTTGTTTTGTTGACTTTCAACTAGTTTTTCCAAAATTTTCACTATAGGATCTTCAGAGCACTTTTTGTTACCAGTAGCCATTTGTTCTTGGGTAAGTTCCTCTAAAAATTGGTCCTGAAAGATCATGTTTCCATCTTCATCAACATATGTTTGTAATATATCTTGTGTTGTCTTGATCCAAACACTTCTAGTTTGGTATCTTTTTTTTAATGTGTTTTTCACAGTTAAAAAAGTTTTCGAAGATTGGATATGTTTGTGGAGTGACATCGCTTGACATTCTTCAGGTATAAGGAAAACTTTGTCCTCTTTTGTGGTAATTGCGGTTATTGCGATAAAGTTCGACTTACCGTCTATTGATTTTACTTCGAACGTAAATTTCAATTTCTCCATTTTGTGACAATAAATGTCGTTTTATAAGATATTTCTGGATTAGGACGACACAGTCAGTCAAACACAATTGAGTTTCTCTGTAAGAAAAGATTTATTGTTTATAAAATATGAAAATGTAATAAATATGTGTGATAACTTATTAAGTTTCAAACTATTACAAACCTGTAAGAAAAGAAACGACATTTAATGTTATTATTAACAATGCCAGTTCCTAATCACAATTAGAGGTATAATATTTAATTAATGAAATTAATAACCAATTTATTGTTCTTCTCAACAAATACTAATTCTAGGATATTTTATTTAAATAGACAGATGACATATAAACGTCATCTGTTAGATCACATTCAAATAAAGAAATTTATATTATTTCTTTACAAGTATATTCACGTGAGTAACCCGCGATTTTAGTTAATGCTAAGGGTATTCGAAACATTATCGACAAGGTTTTTGAACGTACATGATGTCCAATTCTAGGGATTTGTGACATAAAAAAATTACAAGTTTGTACAAAAAAAATAATTTAATAAAACATTGTATTCATCATAATTCGTCTTTTTTGTTAATTGATTCACTAATAACTCCGTTGACGGCCATTGCTTCCCATTTATCAATGAATCGATCCCAGAATTCGTATCGTTTCTTATTCAGATCTTGTTTGATTTTCATGTGTTTGTCTATATGTAGGTATTCCTTCTTTTCTGTAGTATATGCAGGCCATTTAACTCCTAGTTCTTCATCGTGGTCTGGTGTTGGGTTCCTAGAATGTAATTGTAAAAGGTGAGTCAACAATTATGTCACGACTAGCTTCTGCCAGCGGCTTTCCGTGGGAAAAAGTAGCCTATGTGTTACCATATATTTCTCCCTCGATTTCAAATTTCATTCTGATTCTTTTCAGCCGTTATGGCGTGAAAGGGTAACAAACACACACACACACACATAGACAATATATCCTCACAAACTTTCGCATTTATAATATTAGTAGGATGAGAATGGTAAAATAGTACGACAAACAAAAATATTAGTTTTATGTAGAAACATATGACATAATTTTAGGTATCGTTCTACAATATAGAATATCATATCGTTAGCAGGTACCTACTACTAATATGTGCCATTAATTTAACATACTATGCCCCACCAAGTAACTGAACGCAAAACCAAAAACAAGAAACATTCTTAATTTTTGTCATCACTTTTAGAGATTTACAACTTTGTTTATATTATAAACAGTAACAAGATTTGGCGCAAAACTTTGTTATTAAAACTTACCCGTATTTAGCAAAATTCGTCCACATTTTTATCATTTTCCTTTGAATAACTTTTTCTTCGGGCACATTTTTCTCAAGCTTTAAATATTCATCTGTTAGAGCGGGGCACTTGAACAGATAACACATTTCATCCCCAGCAGCCGTTCCCCACGTTCCCTCCTGCACATTGGAATACTTCATCAAATTATTTTTATTCTCGTTCAAATTACTGATGTAATCAAAATAGTAATAGTACACTGGTTTCTCTGATCTTTCAGAATATAGTTTAGCTGTATAATCTACTACGTAATTGACTGATGCATCCCCCATATATGTGAGTAGGTCTGGAACACTCTTCAGATTAATTTCACCGTTCTTAAAGTAAAAATCTTTTATGTCTTTGGTTGCATCATCATACACGTCTTTCAATGGATCAAATTGGAATCTCAACCTTCTTGGTAAGAGAAGAGGGAAGTCTTTCCTAAGAAAAGTAATGTATCTTGGTTCTATCAGATATTGCATCATAGGCTCTAGTGCTTCTCTGGAATTAGAACCAATCATGATTGGCATTTTAATGATTTCCATATAATCTTCCGGGTATTCCTTAATTAAGCCCTTTCGATGTTTTTCTACTATTGGACTGAATGCAACTACACTCTTCTGTGTCTGTTTAAAGTAATCATCAGGACTTGCATGCACATCTTTTGTAAGTAAATCTTTAGCTGGTATATCTTGGAGCTCCTTTAGTAATTGAACTTCGTCAGTCGAAGTTCTTTCTATTAGTTCTCCAAGTTTGAACGCTCTATCTCTAACCTCTTCTTGTAAATATGCTGAAGACCACGATGAACCACTATGCAGTATGGCTGCTTGGAAAAGATATTTTGCGTTTGAGTGTATAAGTAAATCAATAGCAGCTGCGCCTCCTTCCAGTCCCATGAGGGTGACTCTATGCGGGTCTCCACCAAACTGGTTAATATTGTCTCTAACCCATTCTAAAACTTCAACGATGTCTTTTAGACCAGCGTTACCTGGCACCATATCATTCTCTAGCGACAAAAATCCAAATGCTGATAATCTATGACTTAAAGTTACAACAATAACATCTTCTTCAATGAAAAAGTCTGGAGCATAATCCTTGGATTTGTTGTAAGAATTTTGGAAATGTTCGTTGTATATGAATACGATTACTGGCCTTGATTCTTCATCTATAGCTGGCGTGAATACATCGAGGTATAAGCAGTCTTCGTCTCCGTACCAACCTAAGTCCTGTCCTTTTTTGATGTCATTGTTGAATTGTATGCAGGCAGGTTTCTCTCGTGTTGCTTTCAACGTTTCGTCCCAAGGGTCGATGGGTTGAGGTGCCTGGAAAATTTATGATATGCTATTGTATTATTTCTTTGACAGAATCTTTTTATGGTGAGTGGTTTATTGTGAAACGACCCGCTTATTATTCGATTTATATCTGAGACTCACTTTTAATGGACTTGAGTTTGATTTGGAATGTGACTTGTGTAGTTTTTATTCCTATTTTCATTTAGAGAGTAATTTGCAATATATACCTCTATTTTTAAAAACGAATGCAAAAGTTTCTGTGGCATGTAAAATTTACTTATATAAATGAAAATCATTCAACTTTTATTCAGGAGATAACATGATATCCAGGTGACCTACTTTCAAATTTAATCTGAATCCGTTCAATAGTTTTAGCGGCAGCGAGTTACAAACTTCCAAATATCATCCATCAAATCTAACAAACTATTAAACCAATTGTATTAAAACTAACTTACCATGAATCGCAATTCACCAACAGGTGGCGCTGCATATGGTATTCCCATAAATCCAAAATATTCCACATTTTTAATCAGCGTCTTTAAAACCTTTCCAGAAATAGGTCCATAATTTGTTTCTACTATAGGAGTTTCATGACACTGAATCAAATTAATTATTAATAAAAAATAAATAAAATCAAGGAATGTTTTTAAAAACATTTTGTTCTGTCTATCATCACGGCTTGTACTTGTGAAGTGATCGATTGCAGTGTTACACCTGTGATATCGGGTTATCGGACCACGTATTTATCTTTATGATGGGATTAAATAACGCCTATGATGTGCTAACTGTTGAATAACAGCTAATAGATATATTTTGTGATGCAGATGAAATGAAAGAAACGTATTTTTCATCAATAACTCCATTGGATGTTGAGATACGTATTCTATTAATATTTGTCGATAAAACAAATCAGTTGGGATATTCTCTAACGGCTAGTTATAACCTATCTATCTGTAGATGTTAATTCGAACTCCCGAAGTCAGTTCGGTCGCATTCTCGCCAGCCATTGGTCGGGATTATTCTAACAACTTGAACCAATAACATGGCGGACCGCAATCGAGTTCAATTCGATCTAATGTACTTGTAAAATAAAATAGCTTCGCGGTTCAGAGCCAATTACGATTATATTATCAGTACAATAACTATGTCTATTAGAAAGTTAAGATCAAATAAAAGACTAATCTGTTTGGTTTATTGAATGTGGGGGGAAAATCGTCCAATGACTTCTCCCGCCTTAGGTACATGTATGTATTTAATATGGTAACCTTCAAACGATTATTCCATAAAATGTACTGAATGAGACTTGGTGTGCAATGTTTAACAGTTTCAAATATTATGAAAACATTTTTACGGATTTTAGTAATGTTTATAATGACGTGTCTTTTGAACTCACGACCATTTTATCCAGTACTACTATTTAGTACTACATGGTCATTCAAACCGAATTTTGTATATTTTCTATCGAAATTAGTATGAGTCTTTATAAAATAATCTTTTTTTTGTCTTTCTATATAGTTTTTAGTGTTTCTAACAGTGATAGTGTCTATGTTATTGAAACGAATGGAACGAAAATTATTGGGAGAAAGTTGGTTTCGGTTTTTGATAACAAACCTTTTGTAGCATTTTGGAAAATTCCTTATGCTGCTCCTCCACTTGGAAAATTACGGTTTAAGGTAAGTTCTAAGATCAGTGAGATATCGTATTTTGAAAATAATAATTCACTACAGATTTTTAATAACGTTTAAAGTTACAAGGTCAAGTTCATTTACAAATTAAACTTTGTGACGATTATTACATTATTTTTTAATAATGAATTTTAAGTAAATGATAACGATATAGAAAAGTCTAAACAAAACAATATGTTTTTGATTTCAGCCTCCAAATCCGATTCGTTGGTTCAATAAACCAGTCTACAACTACAGTGTGCCGTATAACGAGAGTTGTGCCTTGGGTTCCACAGAAGATTGTCTATACTTATCCATCTACACACCAATAAATAAACATGCATTCCTCTTTCCCATTATTGTATGGATCCATGAATATGCCTATACACATGGCCCCGATTTTTTAATAGACGAAAATGTAATTGTAATAAACGTTTCGTTCCGGACGACAATTTTTGGTTTCCTTAATACTGGGGACAACTTCGCTAGCGGCAATATGGGAGCTAAAGATATTCTTACTTCACTGAGGTGGATTAGAGAGAATATAGGCTATTTCAATGGTGATATAAATAAGGTCACGGTATTTGGCTCTGGGTCTACCGCACCAATAGTAGCTTCCTTGCTATTATCGGCAGTCGGAGAAGATTTATTCAGTAGAGTGATCATCCAAGACGGCAGTGTTTTATCTCCAGCCGACTATAGAAGTTACAACTTCGAGATTATGAATAAATTATACTGGAATCTAAACGGACCATTCGAAAAATTCAATAGAACCAAGTTGTACGAATTGCTCTCAAAGAGCTCAGTGAAGCAGTTGTTTGCGGCCAGCTACGATCTGTTCGATAGCACCGAAGTTCGAGATAATCAGAGGCTTATCAATTCATTTTCCCCAACTGTCGAAGTATCAGGAAAAGGCGCTTTCATGAACAAATTCCCCTTCGAAGTATACAAGCGAAAGATTACCAATAATGCGGTGGAAGTTATGATAGGATACACCAACTTAGATTCCCTCCACAAACTCGATGGTTTTGTGAGAAACAAGAAACTCTTGAAGTATTTAAATTATAACTTTCAGTATTTATTACCTTTCGAAGGGCGGAGAGACGAATACGGATCGAAGCTGTACAGAAAAATACGAAGGAATATAATGGATTTCTATTTTGTTAATGGGACTGTCGGGGAGAGGAGCTTGAGGAGGTACGCGAAGTATGTGTCGGACCAAGTGATTTATCCGATACTCCGGCAGGCGAGCCTGCACAGCCAAGTGTCGTGTAATAATGTTTACCTGTACCGCTTCACTCATCGCGGGCCGTTCAACATCGTGTGGAACACGTACCTGCGCAATGTGAACTTGAACGGAGCCACTTCAGGCGACGAAATCTGTTACCAATTTAAATGTAAATCTTTGAGGACTGCGTACAATACAGTGGAGGCTTCAAATGAAAGGCTCTTCATTAAGAAGATTGCGAGATTATTGGCGAATTTTGCTAAACACGGGTAAGGTTAATGCTGATTAAATATTTGCTCTTTTACTTTTGATAATGAATTTTAATTTAACTGGTTAAGGTTTAAATTTAATGCGGAATTATTTTCTAATTGTTTTGTCGGTTAGTGGTAAGCCCGCTTTGATGGTATTAAAAGATTTTTAAGTTAATTCTTACCGCAGCGTTTAGGTGAAACTTTTCCTTTGGTATTTTGAAATTAAAATAAGTTGGAACAAGTTTATGAATATATTTATCTACTTTCGTTAACTCTTCGAGAATTAGCGGCATTATGCGGTTAAGGGACTATTGATACTGATGACCTTAGGACTAACTGTGAATTCTTTTTCACAGCCATAGTCAGAGCTATAAAACTTGAGCCACTTTATTTTTTAAAACCTACATCTTACAATCCAGTATTAATTATTTTAAAAGGAGGTTTAATATCAAATAATTTTTTTTACGCCATAAAATCACCATATCTTTTCATTTACAGAAATCCGACTCCACATTCTGCAGATCCCGTTCTGGAAGATTTACAATGGTTACCTTTGGATCTAACTAAAAGTATGAGGGTCCTAAGCATTGGCTCCAAGCTGAAGATGATCAAATTGCCTGAAGAGGAAAGAATGTTGTTCTGGGATCGACTAAGAAACGATTTTTTTCCTAGTAAAGAAATAAATGATGAATTATAATGATATAACTATAATAATAAGTACATAAGATTACTTTTGTTGTTTTCTAATGTACGTATTTTTACATATCTGTAAGCAGTATCATCTTTACCATGAGGGCACTTGGGGCCCGTGCCCAAAGCCCCCATCCTGAAAGGGGCCATGACATGAAGGACAGAAAATTTATACGAAGGACACACACTTGCTACACGTTGCGCGGCAATCGGCTGCCCCACAACGTAGGGGGTTCAATTCTCGCTCGCCACGCAGAATCTAAATACTTATTAAATTTATCTTACACTTTTTTATTTATTATTACATAAAGCTATAGTTTGTTTGTTTGAACGCGCTAGTCTCCGGAATGCATTTCTGAAATTCATCTAAAATAAATTCAGCCCTAATATTTTCTTTATAGCCCTAATATACTTATCTCTAAAAAATTAAAAATATTTTTTACGAATTTAAATTAATTATTGTAAATTTCGCGCTTATTTCTCGAAAACGCAGCAAACAGCGGACGCCATGATTGTTTTGTAGTATTTCCCGAGTTTCAATATTTTTCTCATCTAGACTAAAATTCCGTATTACTAATCCAAATTGAATAATTATTTTTGTGTTGGACAGTTCATTGATCGAGGAAGGTTTATAGACTATCAAACATCACGCTGCAATCTGAACAGAGTGGGTGAAATCGCACCGGAGTCGCTAGTTTTTATGCGCCATGAGACGTATACCTACTAGGTGAAAAGAAAGGTAAGAAATAAATACGTTTAAAAGTTTTCTCTCCATTCCTATTTCATAAACACAACAACAATACAGTATTCTCTTTGCTGAAGCAACCACATGTTTTAAACAAATTACGTTCATTAAGCATAAAGCTAGTTTTTAATCTACTGATGTGGTATTTTTACTAGCCGAGAACTGAACTTAAACAGTTTTATAGACACATCGAGTTTTACAGTAAGAACTTAATTAAACCAGAGTGCTCACAAATGATTTTGTCCGAGTACTGTTATGTGCAACAGTGTTTCATTTTAATTTTGGTACCATAAAAATGTCCAAGAATAATTTGTTCTTATGTTTATCTATCCATCTATAAAATATACAGATAAATAAAATTAGAGTGTCTGTTTGTAATATTGAAATAACAGCTTTTTATAACATGCATATATAATCGTTGGCCGAGTAGTCGCAAGTGCGACTGCCGGGCAAGGGGTCTCGGGTTCGATTCCCGGGTCGGGAAAAGTATTACTGGGTTTTTAAAAAATCTCAGTAGTAGCACGGAATCTGGAATTGTGTCCGGTATTTGGCAATAGGTTCACCCCCTATTACATGGGACTCATAACATAAATAGTGAAAAGTGGGTGTTACATTGCACAGTGGCAAAATGTGCACCTCTGCCTACCCCTTTGGGGATAAAAGGCGTGATGTTATGTTATGTTATGTTATGCATATATAATATACCTACATACGACACATACCAAAATAACATTTGTTACAATTTTCGTCCGTTTGTCTATCTGTTTATACTGGCTAATCTCTGGAACGGCTGGACCGCTTTTGTAAGACTTTCATTGGGAGAAAGCTGATGTATTAAGATGTAACATAGGCTAGTTTTATTTTGGAAAATTGAAACAATAACAAGTTCTGTTCTAAAATTCATATTCTACGCAGACGAAGTTACGGGCAACAGCTAGTCTTTAATAAGCTGTAGGAATTACCTTGAATTGGGTAGCATTATTTTCTAAAAAAAATCTGTGCCTACTAAACTGAATCTTCGACCGACTTTATTGAAGAAGACGTGCATCGTAGAGCATGCATCATGGCGTACCACCAG